GCCATGCTATACCCGACGAGTTGACGGGTCCGGTGCTCTTAACCAGTTTGTAGTCGTAGTACCGAATGGCCGACATATTCCATATGGGGTCGATGTTATGTAGGAGTTCCGTGCGCACCGGGCGTTTATTATTAGATAGTGTAGCCCAATGAGATATGCCTGTCCATAAAACGGGAATAAAATTTATATTTAAAAAATTACATAAAGTTTTATACTAAAAAATACTTCATAGGTTTGCGTTAACCCACGTATATTAATAACTTATAAACTCATATTATTTTTCAGATATTAAACATATTCAATACAGTTTGCAGTAATGAATGTGCAAGAATTACAATAAAGCTTAATGTTTTGCTTAATACTGGTATTTAAGTTAAGAATCAAGAACATTATTTGATATAAATTAAAATTCTTCTCTCTCTCTCTCACTCACTCACACACACACACACACACATGCATTTTAAAATACAAATGATAGCATAAATATTAATTCGTTATTAATTTGAACGAAAAATAATAATTAAAACGACTCATTGTATAAAAACCTAAGTTTTATGTTAAATTAACCTTTCATATACCCTCTTATTTTTGAAAATTAAATCACAGTTTTATAAATTCTATTTAAACATATTCACTCATCAGCATGTATTAAAAATATATCCACTATCATTTGAAAAATTTCATACCATAAATATTATTCTCGTTGCGAATACCGGTGCCGTTAATGGCGTCCAATATGGTTGGCAACAGGTCTGTCACATGAATCAATGCATTCGATACGTAACCACTTTTGTTCAACAATGGACTCCATATGAATGCCGGAACTCTGATACCTATTCATAAATTTTTTAATTAAAAATTTTATCTAATAACGTCATGATTGCTAAACTTACCGCCCTCAAATAACCCAAATTTTGTCCCACGTAATGGATAATTTGAACCACCATTACCTTAATAATAAGATTTAATAAGATTTAAAAATTACCAAACTATCGTATTTATAGTTTGATATTTATAATAAACTGAATATTGAGTCACCTTGTTTATGAATTGAACCCACAAAACTTGATAGTAAACTTACCCACGTGCTGTAGGGGGTCGCCCCCGTTATCGCTAACAAATATAACGACACTATTGTCTAACATTCCCCTGGAATGTAAGCGCTCTATAATCACGCCAATCGACTCGTCCATATTGTTAGCCATAGCCGCCAGTCGGCGCCTAACGCCCGACACAACATAATCAAACTTATCCACGTACTTTTGAGGCACCTCTAAGGTCAATTTGAACGTTGACGAATGTAGTGATTGGTATGGCATATACAGGAATAATGGTCGCGATGTATCATGTTCATCTAAAATTTTATTATAAATTAGGTTATTTATTTCTGAGCTAATCAATGGGTAGGTATAGAAAACTAAACGCCACCCCTAATTCCACATGACAATTTATATTATTATTCTAGCTAGATTATTTATATCCTATACGCACGCACTTATTGAACGGCCCCTTTACCTATTATATGGACGCATCGATCGGTGAACAGTTGTGTGGAGTAGACTCCGGTGGCGTTTGTTAGAAGTTCCAGCCCGTGTCGGAAGTCCAGTCCACAACTGGCCGGGTTGTAGCAGTTGGTGTGGTTGTAGTAGTACTGACCGGCCGACCAAAAACCTATGTGCGAGTCAAAGCCCCGGTAGGTGGGGGTGTATTCAGCCTTTGCGAAACCCAAATGCCATTTACCTAAAGGTTAATATAAATATTAACATGGTGTTTATCTGATTTAATTTAATTTAATTTTCTGAATACTATTACTATTATATGATCAATTAATTTGATTTCAAAAATATTTACTAAATAATGTACTTTTTATTTTGTCTTGAATTATTATTATTGTTTTTAAACTTAATATTTAAAATTTTCAAATAAATTGCTTGATTAAACTTACCGACAATATGTGTGGAATAATCAAATTGTTTGAGATACTGGGGCCAGAGTTTGTATTGTAAGGGTAGTCCAGTGGGCGCCCAATCCATGAGCACCGAGTTCTGTAGTCCGGTGTGTATGGGGTGTACGCCAGTCAGGAGCGCACCCCTACTCGGACTACAAAGGGGTTGTGTGTAGTATTGGTTTAAAACGATGCCATCGGCCGCCAGTGTGTCGATGTTAGGGGTGAGCACGTGGTCCGAGTGGTAGCCCACGTCTGCCCAACCCATGTCATCGGCCACTAATAATATTACATTTGGTGGGGACGGCTGTTTAGAGCACATACATATCATGCAATATAATGTTAATAATAAACTATGTAATAATAGTTTTGGCAACATGTTTAATTAAATTAGTTTAACAATAATATAATTTTTGTAATTATTAAACTATAATGTTAAAATAATGAATCTAATATTAATTGCATACTAGTTAGTGTACAATTATACTGAATCTAGTAATAATGCTTAATTAGTTATTATTAATAACTTATTATTGTAGTTTAAAAATAAATACTGCTAAATCATTATTAAAAATTGTAACGTAATAATGAATTGTAAATTATGATACAGTACAAATAACTTTAAAACAGTGAATTGAATTTTTTCATTATCTTTACAGCAAATTGTTAACTTAGAACCTAAAAGTACACTAAACTTTAAATTTTTAAATTGATTTTTGATTGTCTTTTATATGATTGGTAGTTTTTTTAAATCAGCAATAATAATTATTACTTTAGAAAGTTATTTGATTAAAAGTCAAAATTATAAAATTATAAAATTATATAACAAATAGATTGTTAAAAATAAACAATTTATAAAAGACAATGTATAATTCAACAAATTTTTTATTGTATTGCAAGACTTTTGCGATAATTGACAAGTATACAAAATAAAAGTTCTCTCAACTTAATTAATAACAAAATTACTTTTTAAACTAAAGTTAGATTTTTAATAATTATTATTAACTTATAATATAAATTAATATATAAATTAATTATTCAATATATTTCTCTTTGTGTTGAATGAAGTCCTCAATAATTTGTGGCAGTTTTGCGATACTATTATCCGATTGTATTCTCGACGATATTTTCTGCAGTTTTTCATTCAATTCATTATTATTTAATAGACTTTCAATTGCTGTCAATAACTCAGATTCAGTGCACTTATAAGTATCGAGTCGTATACCAAACCCCTTGTCTTGAATTCTCTGTGCGTTATCGTATTGATCGCCACCGAGTGGTAAGACTATCATAGGTTTCCCGAAGTAAAAGGTTTCGGTGATAGTGTTGTTCCCTCCATGGGTTACCACCAAATCAATTAACGGTAGAACTTGTATTTGAGGTACAGTAGCCTCGCCCCACATGTTGTCCGGCAACTCATACTCTGTATGTTTGGGTCCTTTCGATACAATGAATCTGTTCTTAGATTTCGACATAATATCAATCAATCGCTTCATGTTTTTCACGTCCACTCCACCTATAGATCCCATTGAAAAGTACACCAATTTTCCCGGTCGGTCCCTCAGCTGCACCGGTATCTCAAAAGTTGAGTGCTTTTCAGTTCTCTTTAAGTTATCAAAACGGACGACATTTCTGGGCAGTGGTCTCATATCAATGTAGTCTAACTCCAGGGGATAGCCGTATATAAACAGGTATTTATCCATATAAACGAATTTATTTTCCTGAAGTGGTGGACAGCCTTTTGAAACCATATAATCATTATATTTAATCCATGTTTGGCTATCGGTTGCATTATCCCTGACATCCCGAAACTTTTTCCATTCACTCGGATCAGTCAAAGCCGATAATCCTTTTAAAGATATTATTTATTTTAAATTTAAAAATTATTTATAATATTGATAAATAGTCTAGAATTTTTAATAAAACATACCTGATGCTATTGGTGGAGTACGGTCATCATCCAATAGAAACAGTGGGTTTGAAGCGCATAGCCATACAATAGGCACACCATAATTGTGCACGCATGGTAATGTGCCCATTGAACATTGATCCAGAACAATTACGTCTGGTCTAGGTATGCTAGCCAATAGTGGTGCAATGTCATTGTCCACCTTGGTCAACCTCTCAACACCGCGCATTGATTTACACATTTTGACAATTTCCGTAGGTGATCCATGGACATGTGAACCAATGTGACCCTGCTTAAATAACATCTCACCATGATAGGCAGCAGGCTCCATTCCCTTAGGTCGATCCTGGTCAGTGTATAATACTTCATTAACGCCATACTTTGTGAGCCGACCCTCCCATTGATCATTGATTGCAACTGAGACGGTATGTCCCGCTTGGATGAGTACCTCCGCTAATCCTAAGCACGCGTTCACGTGTCCGATGCCGTCGACCGGTATGAATAGGATGTCCAGTTGTTTCGGCATTAGATTTGTGTGAGTCTTAAATATTAATAAAATTAGAGACAAGTTTTAAAACTTTTTGACAACTATGTTATTAACAGTATGTTTGTGAATGCAAGTTTATATTGATTGGCACCGGTATTTATACTGCATTGT